CCCGGCAGCGTCCGCCTCCCCGGGCCGCCGCTCTTTGCCCGCCGGGAGGAGCCGGCCGGGTCGCGGGGCTGCGGGCCCAGGTGGGTGATGGCGAGCGCCGAGGTGCCCCCCGGAGCTCCCCGGCGTCCCTCATTGTCTGGCTGAAAAGCTCTGGGGGAGCTGGGTGCGCTGAGGGAAGCGTGTGGCCCAACCGGACCGTGGGGGAGCGGAGGGCCCGGCCCGGCCGCCCCCGGGGTTCGGGGCCCGGTACAGACGAGCTCGCTGTCTTAGTCAGCCTCTCCTGATTAAGATAAAATAAAATAATTCTTCGGCGCTGTATTGTGGGTTTAGAGGTCAGCGGTTTCATTCTGACGAGGAGCGAGCTGGTCTCTTTGTCTTGAGAAGTTTTTAGACCACGACTGATCCTAGTCTTTCCGAATTGACAGGGCACGAGACAAGTTCATCCCAATACAGTGCTGCACTAAAATGGGATCCAAGCAGATCGCCCAAGAAACGTTTGATGATGCAGTGCAAGAAAACATTACAGAATTTGAAATGGACCCAGAGGAGGCTGTGAGAGAAGCTGTGCAGCAGTTCGAGGCCCAAGGTATTGTAGATCCATCTATTTTTGCTGTTTCAGGTCGTTACTGGCAGAATTTTCGGGTATCACAAGTTACAAGAGAGTATTCATGCAATGATTGAGCAGCCAGTACTGAAATGAAGCCTTTGTGCTGTGGAACACAGATGCTGTTAATACTAACTTGTTTTTATGGAATAGTTTTGATGGAAATATGGAATAGTTATGATGGAAATATTCCTTTAACTGAAATGGTAAGCTTCAATTCAGATAATAAAATTGAACGTTTTTTTTTTCCATTTGATATTTATCTGGAATCGATGCTAGGCAGAACTTTGGCAGCCTTTTGTGATGCGCTGATCCATGCTTTTCTATGTTTATTGTGATTTAACTTAATAATTTTGACTTGAGTTCCTATATCTTTATGAATCTTGTTTTCCGTTTTGCTTCCTAGGTGTTGATCTAAGTAACATTGTAAAAGCAGTGAGGCAGCCTACCTCAGAAAATGGCCAGGAGCAAAAGCATGAAATTTTGCTGGTAAGAGTAAACATTTATGTGGCTTTCCAGGGATCAGTGCTGTCTCACAGTTTAAGTAATAGACTAAGAGTCTTGAGACATGGCTTCTATACTTCTGCTTCTGCCCGGTGTCTCAACTACTTTTGTTTCTGCTCCATTCAGATAGCAAAGTGACTCTTGTTCTCTTCTTCAGATTTTAGATGCCCTCAGGAGATCCGTTGCTGACTCCGATCTCGCGGAGATGGCCGAGCAGCTGGGGCTCTTCACGGAGCAGTGCAAAGAGCAGCTGGCTTTCCGCTGCCTGGCCGCGCAGCATGGTGCCTATTCCGTAGTATTCCCTGCCTTCCAGCTGGCTTCTGGAGACAGAAATTTAACACTGAAAGCTTTTTGTGCCCTGTCTGCCATCCTGGATGGGCAGCCAGACCTACTTGACTCTGCTGGCCAGGATCTGCTGCTCCAAGCTCTGAAGGAGCACGCGGAGGACGCCGAGATGGTGCTGGCCGCCCTGCGGTGCGTTCGCCACGCCTGCCTGAAGCACGAGCAGAATCGGCAGGACCTCGTGAAGGGCGGCGTTCTGCCGCTGCTCACGGGAGCCATCGTGCAGCACGGAGCCAGCGCCGAGGTCGTGCGCGCGGCCTCCTCGGCGCTCCGCGTCATGACGTTCGATGATGACATCCGGGTGCCCTTTGGGCATGCTCATGATCACGCCAAAATGATTGTGCTGGAAAACGACGGGTTAAAGGTCCTCATTGAAGCTGCTAAAGGTAAGGTTAATGCTGTGAATGTTGTGTCTAATTTCACATCATCTTTGATATCTTGAAACTGCTTTGTAATAATTGGAGCTCCTCACATGCAATTTTGAAATATTCTGCTAAGATGGTGTTTGATTCATTTGATAAAATGTGCCCTGAAAGACAAAAATATCTTTACTTAGGAGGCTATCAATAGTACCAAGGTGACAGTTCTCAGAGCTACTTGTCAGTCTGTCTAGCCAGTATTTTCTAGCCCAGCACAGGCTTCTGCACCCGTTTGTCCTGGCAGGGTGCTGCATTCTTGCTGTAAAAGACCTCTGTGAGCCAAAGAGAGACATTCTTAGTTGAGACAGGGTGTGTACAAGGTGTCATCTGTGGTGATGTGTTTTAACATGCAAAATGAAATTCATTCTTTCCCCTTTTGGTTGTGTTTTTTTGGTTGTTGTTTGTTTTGGTTTTTGTTTTCGTTTTTAACTGAACACAGTAAAGCACCTTGATTATCTGGCACCCCTCCTTGCTTGTTCTTATTCTATTCATCATCTCTCTGCAGCTTTCACAGACAACTCCAGCGTTCTCAGTGAACTGTGTGCCACTCTTTCTCGCCTTTCTGTCAGAAATGAATTCTGTCAAGAGATTGTGGACCTTGGGGGCTTAAATTTTATGGTGTCTCTCCTTGCTGACTGCATTGACCATCCAGTGAGTGAAATAAAATGCACTTGGGTGTAGAGGCAGCACAAAACAGCATGCTTTTAGCATACTTTTCCTGGCTGTGAATGTGCCTTCAACTTTATGAATAACTTTAGGTGCAATTGGGGTTGAAACCCAGCAATAAGAATGCAGTAATTCTAACCCCATAGTCGTGGTCACTTCCCCTGCCCCTTCTAGACCCCAAGCAGAATTCTCATTGCTGCCCAAAAAGCTGAGTTCAGATTTCACAGAATCCCAGAATCCCTGGAGGGCTGAGGTTGGAAGGGATCATGGGATCACCTAGTCCAACCCCCTGCAGGGACACCCAGAGCAGGGGCACAGGTGGCATCTGGGCAGGGCTTGAAGATCCCCAGAGAAGGAGCCTCCTCAGCCCCTGGGCAGCCTGTGCCAGGGCTCCGGCACCCTCACAGCAAAGAAATTCTTCCTCACGTGAAGATGGAACTTATTCCCCCTTCTCCATCAACCCCTCCTTCCCATGTTCCACTTTCCCACATTCCTGGCTAGAAGGACTCCAAGAGGGTTTAAATACTCGAGTCTCAGTGGGTTGGTCTTGAATTCTTTAAAGTTTGAAAACCCCTTTCAGTTTAAAGAAGGTTCCTTATTATTCCTTCTAGCAAGAAACCACTCTTGAGATGTGAGGGCCTGAGAATAACATTGCTCTTCATAGCTGAGAGTTAGAACTGTTTGAGTGGATTCGCTGGGGAATCCACCTAGTTCTAGTTGTCTCTCACAAGTTCGTGAAGCGTTTTCCTCCTCTAAGCAGTCTTTTCTTGGTGAACACAGGACGTGGTGAGGCAAGTGCTGAGCGCCATCCGAGCAGTTGCAGGTAATGACGACGTGAAAGATGCCATAGTTAATGCTGGGGGAACGGACCTCATTGTGCTGGCCATAAGCCATCACCTTGGCAACCCGCAGGTATGCAGCAAATTCATTGATGTCCCACTGAGGCTGAGAGTAGACATCGGTTTGGGGGCTCGTAATTTAGCAGCGCTGTCTTTTGTGGGGCAGCAAACCTGCAGATACATTCTAAGTGCAGTTGTCTAGGCATAGTTGTTAATGACTGCCGTTCATCTTCTTTTCCTAGCCTGAACAAGGTGTTAAACCTTTAATATTTGCTTGTTGTAGAGTGTTAAGTGCATGCTTTGGCAAATAGCTGAGTAAATGTAGAGAGATACCTACCTTACTGTATTATGTTGTTTCTTGTCCCAGAATCAAATAAATATGTGATAGTCGGTTACACTTGTGCAGTTGCAAGTGAAATTTCAGTTAGTACTGAAATTATTTTTGATCTGATTTAATTGACAATGTAGAACTTGTTTTACATGCCAGAGAAGTAGGAAGTTTCAGTGGAAAAAAAATAAAAATTACTAGAAATGCAAAATCCCAAACATTTTCCCTTAGTGCAACATTGGCAGCTGGTGAGAGCCTCTTCCTCTCTGTTTGCAGATCTGTGAGCAAGGCTGTGCGGCCTTGTGCGTGTTGGCTTTGCGCAAACCTGAGAACTGTAATGTCATCATGGAAGGTGGAGGGGCTTTGGCAGCCCTGCAGGCTATGAAAACGCACCCAAAAGAAGTGGCCGTGCAGGTATTTGCCTCAGAGCTCTTGATTATTTATTCAAGATTAGAGCTGCTAATGCTCATTGCCTCATAGGGATTTTGTCCTTTACTGACAAATGTCAGAAGGTTATGAGTATCTTGGGAAGATAGCTGAGCATCTTCCTAAGAACCCACTAGGTCTGTAAGAATTAGAAGGATTTTATGGATGTGCAAGACTGTATCTTCTTTCTTTCTTTCCGTTTCCCTGTAGAAGAACCTAATGTCTCTCTCATTTACCCCTCTCCCCAGAAACAGGCTTGCATGCTGATCCGCAACCTCGTCTCTCGAAGTCGGGACTTCTCTCGGCCCATCTTAGAGATGGGAGCTGAGAACCTGATCACAGAAGCTCGTGCAGCGCACAAGGACTGCGACGATGTGGCCAAAGCTGCCCTGAGAGATCTTGGCTGTAAAGTGGAGCTCCGAGAGCTGTGGACAGGTCAGAAGGGAAGCCTGGCTCAGTAAATCATCAGTCTGTTGAGCACTGAAGCTGCAAGGCATCTGGGTACACAAAGCCTGAAGGGGGGAACAAAGT